GAAGAAGGTATTATGGACTGGTGAATCAAAATTGGAAATCTTCGATTTTTAAGAGAGACAGAATATCCAGAGAAAATGACATAAAAGTTATAAATTGCTTTCAGACAATCCAACAGAGGATTCAGGAATGATTTCCCGCGCTATCAGTAAAAGAGACCATTAATATCTCTACAAGATTTTATAGCAACATGTTGATTACTTGTAGTTATAGAATATATATAGTTACATTGCGACTAGTTTTTAAAGTTGATAACGATCTGATGACATTCTGGCCTCTCATTGTTGGCAGTACTGGTAGTACAGCACGCAGTAGCAGCAATACGAGTATTATCAGTGTTTCCATATGAAATCTCAAAGGACTGCTGGTTTTAAGGGAATGTAGGTGGAGAGCTAGCTATGAGAGGAGCCTTTATACTCAGTGTAAATAATAATGGAATGTGAACTCAAATAGATGTCAGTCCACATTAGGTGAAGCACGCAGCTTCAGCACCGCATTAAATAAACGGCACAAAGTGAATGTGTCAACTGAGAAGACTTTTAAACATGAAAGTAGGTTTGTTAAGATGTTATGTACAATAGTAGCTTATAACACACACGGTTTAAAGATTTAACCCGTATTTTCATTCAGGTGTGAGTAAGGCTAAGGCTAAGACTATGGAAGTAGGCAGGTTCTGAAGGCTGTGGAGCGACCCAGCATCAAATACTTCCCCTCTGGATCAGTGAAATGGGGGGAAAGGTGTGTTTGAGGAGGGACAGAAGGGTGCTTTGTGGCCTTCCCCAGTCAGGTCAGCTCTCGCAATCTCTCCCCACCCCACCCCATTCCAATCCTCTCCCTCTTCCAGCACCCAGTCTCCCTCCCTCAATCCCACCTTCCTGCTCCCTCGTCACCCCATCTCTCTCCTGGATCTCACACAAACCTTGACCACTTGAGAGATGCTACTGCTTCTCTGCCATTCCCTCCTGCTCATCTTTGCTCAACAGGTAAGAAGAGCACTACCCTTTCACCTTTTTTTCCCTCAGACTGCAGATAAGACAACACTCGATGCCACTCAGAAACTGCTATATATAAATCCAGAGGAAAGCAGTCAGCTGGGATACCTGACTGCAAGTGAATACCAAAACACCCCGTTCAGAATTGACTGTTTGATAGTATTATTTGTATGTAGGCTTTAGTAGTTTACTGGCTTTAGTGTAGGGCTTATTTTAGAAGCGTGAAGTAAGAAAAGATGACAAAATTGGGAAGCCTTTGCAGTTCAAGCTCCCGTGGACTCATTTTCACACCATGAAATGAGCTCATTCAGCAAACCTGGCAGACAGGCTTCAGATTTTTGCCATAACCCTCAGTAACCCTTGGAAGCTCTGAGAGACCAGGGGTATTTGGAGCACAAGTGGTGCCATGGCTGGATTTCATCACAGCAAATACCATCAGGTAAACATGGACATTCAAGGACTGGAATATATTGAAATATCTAAGACATTTTGGCCTCTCACTGCTCTGAGCTCTGTGCAGTGTGTCACTATGTTAGATGTTGAATTTTTTTGGCTGTCATGCTTTGTTGAAAGGTTTCTTATAGATTTTTGTTTCTATTTTGAATTTTTGTTTTGTTTTGCACTTAGCAGTGAAAAATACAAAGCAAGAAAGACTGGGAGGAGCTGAGTTCCCCTTAACCAGACTGTCCCTGCACAGTTACAATGACAATGCTAAACTAGAAGTATGATGGGTATTAGACATGTCTAAGCCTCAAACCTGAAAGTCTGTGTGTGTGTGAGAGAGAGAACAAATTTCAATCTTTTCTGATAATTATTAAAGATGATCAGAAATTAAGTGGCTAAATGTGTTTTAGCTAAAGCTAACACATGGATCTGAGTAAAGCCACTGCAGTTAGGATTTTACTCGTGGTTTTTAGACACACACAGTAAAGATAGATAGGTTTAAATACCTGAAGTCAACCATCCAAAGCAATGGACACAAGAGAGATGAAGAAGAGAAACCGGCAGGGTGGAGTGGGGTGGGTGGAGACGGGTGTTAAGTGTGATTTGTTACACACCTAATACTTAAAAATAGCAGTGAGAGGGAAAGGCAAGGGTTACAAGACAGCAGGGAGACCTGCTATGATATATGGTTTGGAGATGGTGGCACTGACCAAAAGACATGTGCACCACTCTAAATAAGGGGTACATGCACTCACTGCACCATAAAGTCATATCCTGTTAGCAGCTTTAGAGAAATTTAGAAAACATGTACTTTTTAGAACAAGTATATTCAAATAACTCAAATAACTATTATCCAGCGTAAAACTGCCAAATCAAACATGTGGACCGGCCTGCTGTGGTGTGTGTGTATAAGAGAGAGAACGAAAGACAGAGTGAAATTTTATGTCTGCTCTAGTACAACGTGGCAGTAAGGGACCCCAGGAAAAAAAACTACCGGTACTCCTGTGGCAATGAGATCATTTTTCCAGTCCAGGGGAAAAACTAAAAGCACCTTTGAGGCATCATCTGTCTCCTCACTTTCATCTCCCTCAAGCTGGGCTAAAAGATATCTGACACAAAATATTGACCTTGGCTGGTAAAAAGCACTACAGTAAAATGCAAAGGCATCTTGTTCCTTTAGTCTCCCATTAGAGTGTCTGCACTGAACACTAAAGAGTTCTACTTTAACATTTTCCAGAGTAACTAAACCTGGTTGGACAAGGAGGGTCCAGAAAGATGGGTGTGAATTTAGACAGGAAGCAGATAGACGTTACTGGTACATGTAAACATTTTAATCATTTGAACTGTCAATTTATTTTAAAAAAGCTACTGGTTCGAGGAGCAGCGTTTTTTACTGTACATTTCCCCTATCATCTCCATCATAATAATAAAATAAAAATAGTACTGCCAATTCAAAAATTTGACTCTTTCTGGCTGTTTTCCCCTCAGTGCTTCAGCAGGGCGCAGAACAATGGGCAGCTGCAAGCTCCTCAGGGTGGACGGGCTACGACAGAGAGACGCCAATTCTGCCAGTGGCCCTGCAAGTGTCGGCAGAGACCTTACTGTGCCCCTGGTGTCAGCTCTGTCCTGGATGGGTGCGGCTGCTGTAAGAGCTGCGCCCGACAAATTGGAGAGCCGTGCAACGAGAGGGACGTGTGCGACCCACACAAGGGCATGTACTGTGACTTCTCCGCAGACAAGCCAAGATACGAGGTTGGAGTGTGTGCATGTGAGTGGACCTGGTCTTTTACTTGATTGCAGGCAGGGTTGCAATAAAGAGTCAAGGGGCCCAACACAGGTTTTAATCAGGCTTCCTTAGTTGCACTGCAGCAGTGACTCATGGTCAAAGCAGCCACTCATTTTACTCGGATCCTTCGTTATTATGTCCCTCCATCTTACCACGTTTGTTTCATCTTCCTCGCGGGGTGATCGTGGCTCAAGAGTTGGTAGCTCGTCTTATAATCGGAAGGTTGCTGGTTCAAGCCCAGCAATGCAATCCATTATTATTATTATTATTATAAACCTTTACAAGCTCGTGAAAAGATTTGTAATAAATATGAATGAATGGGCTGCTGTCAGTACTTGTATGACCAGTGTGCAGCAGCCTTTCAGATCGGCGCTTCGGCCCACCGGGAATAGGGCCATTGTGCCAGATTACCAGTCCAGCTCTGATTACAGGGGTACATGCTGCTTTACTTCCTACAACTGTGGCAGTGTGATGCTGGCTGTTGGCAGGTGGTCAAACATTGTAAAAGTTGGACATGGCTATAGTAACATCACCCACTGGTTTGCGTTTTAGTATTTTGAAGCCTTGACTTTAGCTTATTAATCCCGAAGGAAATTAGGGTTACAGCAGGCAGCACGCTAATGGCGCATGCACACTTACAAAGGAACCTTTTGACCAACTTTACACAAACATCATATTGGGGAGACATGTCAGAAAGGTAATGCTGACAAACCGATAAAATATTTGAATTTTATTCTCCAAAAACTAAAGACTTCCTGAGAGAATGGTCTATAGCACACAACAGCCTATAATAATCATGATCAAACTGACCTCACCTCTCACTTTAAGCTTTAATACAGTTCAAAAGTTTAGTTATTGAAAATTTATGAAGGGAAATATTAGCTACTGAGACCAAAACACCTTTCTGTACCAACTTATAAACATGTTTTTGTTTTTTTTTGGTTTTTAAACAGTAGTCTATGGGGCTCGCCTCACTTTTGGATTCAGTGTCAAGAGGATATTTGAGGATTCAGCCCCAGGGGCTGCTGTCGCAGGGTTACGTGTGTTGCAACAGTAACAGAATTATGGATATATTGTGAATGGCATATTTTAAAGCAGTGCAAATCACAATTACTCTACCATGAGCCAAACAACATTTGGAAAGACCATAAAAGTTGTATGTTTAAATTAGTTTTTTTTAGTGTTTGCATAAAGCCACACAGTGGCTTCAGAGGAGGCCGCTCTAAACCGGTTCAACGGGAAAGCATTTTAAAAAAAATATGCAAGTGTGAAGAAGCCTGAAGGGGCTTTTACAAACCTCAGTGGGAAACTTAAACTCCAATCAACAATTCCACCTACGTGAGTCAAAAACCACTGGTTTTTGTGTCCATCCCTGCAAAAACATGTTTTTACATTCCATGTCATCATTCGAAATGTGCAAATTGCGTGCTAGGCTGGGAATCAATGCCAGCATAAAGGAGTATGCCATTTTTAAAAAGCTAATTTGCACTCAAATCTCATATTTTGTATGCTTGTGGGGAAAAAGACACAGTAAAATTCTTGGTTTACAAAAAACCCCCAAACAAACAAAAAAGATATTAATTTGCATTACAGTCTTAAGATCCACCATAATCAGAGTTTGAGATTTGCACCAGCATGTTTCTTCTCATTCCTTCAGACATGATGGCGGTAGGCTGTGACCTGAATGGGGTCCACTATGAGAATGGAGAATCCTTCCAGTCCAGCCCCCTCTACAAGTGTACATGCATCGCTGGAGCCATCGGCTGTACCCCTGCTTTCATCCAGAAGCCTGCTGGTCTCTTAGGCTCTGCACCACTGATCAGCAACACGCCAGCTGGCCTTCGCAGTGGCCAGAGCCCAAACAAGCACCAGCAGGACACTACCTACATGTCAGGTGTGTGTTTAGAGAATGAATTCATGGAGAAGAGCCAGACTGTCTTGCCTGGAATGCTAATTGCTGTTAGGTAGCTGGAAGGGAAGGGGGAGCCTCATTACTCAGTACTGTCAGTGTGAGGTGTGACTGCCTGTGGTTAAACTGTCTGACACATATGATTCCAGTTAGAGGAGGAAAAGGAAGAGAAACAAGTTGGTTTTTATTAAAAGCCATAAAAATGTCACTTTGATGTACGGCAAAGCTTATTTAATTGGCGTGGCATGTAGCTGGACCAGATCTATCACATGATCTATCTGAGTCACATACAGTGATTTGCCACTGTGAAAAAACAAAGCACTTTCCCACCCAGCAAAAACTCATCGTCCCTGTCGTTGAGATTTGGTTGAAACATTTTAATTTTGATTAAAAATGTCAAGAAAAGACACGACAAGCTTACTAAGTGGTGCAAACGAGCATGATGCTATAGTCACAAAAATGCACTAACGAGATGGGAAAGTTCTGAGGGTGATCTAATAACAAAAGAAGCTTTTATTTTGGTGTTTGTGGGTCTGATCTGGTTGTGGTTCGAGAAGTGTTGGTGCTAGTGGACGGCTCCGGTAATAATAATAATAATTATAATAATATGTAAAGATAGCTACATGTAAAAGAATGCCTGAGTTTGTGTAGTGAGCTGGTATGTTTACAGTGTTTCAGATTCTTTTGTTACATTTCTATGCAGATCTTTTAATTTTTTTGTCCTTTTCTATGTAGCAGCAATTTCATATCATAATGAATTCAAAATTGATTAATGGGACTGCTCCCATAAGGCTCTATAGCACCTAATCACAACCAGTATTAGTCAAGTTACTTGAAAATAGTAATTTGTTACTAATTACTGATTACTTCTCCACAAAGTAATCCTGTTACTTTACGGATTACTTATTTTCAAAAGTAATTAGTTACTTTATTATTTACTTTTTAAAAACATGATACATATGTAATAATGCAATAGACCTTTCAGCCAATTCTAATTTTTTTTCCTGCATAATCCATCATATAAAATTAAATCAAATCAAAAAGTCTCTTTTTCAAACTTGTTTTATTAGTTTTAATCTTTTAACTTTATACACATTGCATTAAGCAAAAATTTAATTATATGCAACATTCTCTGAGTTGAAGAAATTTGTTTAACATTTAAACCTATGTTCTGCATATTCCAGCATTTAAAATAAAATAATTTTTGCGTTTACTCTCACTCTTTCAAATAGATGCAAGAAAAACACAGAAAGAAATAAATAATTTGAAGTTTAATTTTTCCACTGTAGAAAGAAGTTTTCTTCCCACGTAGAGTGCACGGCGGATGCTAATGTTTATGTCACTTTTTACAGAATCAAACTCAAAGTAATGTCAGTAATTCCAAGCCTTAAACACTGCATGGATGTACTCTCTGCCGCAGATCAACAGTGGATAATATCTCGATATTATCCACTATTGTCATGAGACATTAACAAACAAAATCAGTAACGCAGCATGCTTATGGTATAGTAACAGTAATCCCTTACTTTACTTGTTACTTGAAAAGTAATCAGATTACAGAAATGCATTACTTTTAATAGATTACTGCCCATCTCTGATGGAGACACAGCAGCTTGTTGGAATGATTCTGATCTGTGCTTTGCTTGACACAGTACCCTTTAACTGTAACACTGAAAGGTTACAGGGACCCTCCTTTAGCCTGGAAGAGGAACTGCCTAATCCAGACCACCCACTGGAGTCCCTGCTCCAAGACCTGTGGCCTGGGCATCTCTGTACGTGTCAACAACGATAACAGCAAGTGTGAGATGAGGAAAGACCGCCGCCTGTGCTTGCTGCAACCGTGTGAGAAAAGCGTGCTCAGGAGTGTCAAGGTGGCATCTTTAGCTTTAATCTGTCTGAATCTTTAATATTTTCATTTAATTTTAAAAGTTTTTTTTCTCAAACTCTTAAAAAGAAAGACACCAATTGCTATTCCCACTTCTAGGTGCCAAAGGGAAAGACGTGCCGACCCAAATTCCAGGCAAAGAAAGCAGAGAAGTTGACTCTCTCTGGCTGTACCAGCAACAAGAAGTTTAAGCCCACATACTGCGGTGTGTGTACAGACAAGCGCTGCTGTGTCCCCAACAAGTCACGCATGATCAAGGTCAACTTCACCTGCAAAGGAGGCTCCAACACACAGTGGAAGATGCAGTGGATAACGTCCTGTGTGTGTCAGAGGAAGTGCAACGATCCGGGCGACATGTTTTCTGACCTGCGTTTACTCTAAGGACCCCAAACGTCAGAGACGCAGAGTGGTGCAAGCCCCACTGTGAGAAACTAAGGACTGAAACACACATACACTTTAATTCTCCCTTAGTAACAGTTTTGCACCTCCAAAAGGACAAAAACAAAACTAATTTTGAGAAAGAAGAACAACAGATCATTAAAAAAAACAAAACAAAGTTTTATGGAGCACTCTTCAGGACAGGTATGTGCACTAACAACAAGGAATATGGCCAGTGTACTACATTACCTCATAACAGAACAATCAGGGAGCTTGGAAAAGCAAATAGAAGCTTTAGAGTAGATTAAACTGATGTTCTCTTTAAGTGCTGTTTGGAACACTTTGACCATGCCATACATTAGATAACGTTGATATGTAAAAGCTTCAGTTCTGTGAGTTTGATTCCCAGATTCACAGCACAGCAGACCTTCATCTGGCGATGGAGAGTCTGGGTGCATCAGGCATGAGTCTGGCCTTGGTGGCATCCAGATGATGATATTCTTCAATCAGTGAGTTGAGAGAGGCAATGGCCTCTGAGAAGAAGCTCTGCTCCATCCCTTCTACATGCAGGTAGTGGTGTAAGTGAGCCTAAAATGAAAAAAACAAAACATTAAACTGAGTCTGACTGATGTGTTTGTCAGATTTAGAGGCTGATATGCATTTGCCAATAAGCTTGAAGAATAAACCTGAGATATCATTTCACCTGAAGACAAACTGCTTTGTTTTCTGTGGCTGTACCTGCACCACATATTGAATTAAATAAAAGAAAATACACATTTTGAAATCCATGTATGCCTCTAAACTTAAACTAGTGCAGGAAGACTATATGCCAAGTTATCTTTTGTAGCTACATTTTACAGATGGGTTAAAAGGTTTAGGGTTTAAGCTAGAATTAGGTTTAGGCTAAGAGTAGACTATAGGTTTGTAATAGTAAAATTTAAGTTATTAGATCTGGGAATGCATTACTATCAAAGAATGTCCTCACAAAGACAGCTTGAGACGCACCTTCTTCCTGTAGAGCTTGGTAAAGCGTTCCCTGAGCTCCATGAACGTGGGCTTCACGCAGGTGTTGTTGGCCAGAGCTAACAGGGAGTGGGAGTGTCCCACGGGAGGCACTGAACACAGACTCGTCTTCCAGCCTTCCTGGTTCCATGAGACAAAGGGCAGTGATGGTCTCAGTCTAAAGCCAGGAGAGAGGGGAAAATAACTGTATATGTAATGTTTAACATGTGAGCTTCACATGACAACCAAAAGACTTTGTTTAGTCTCAGTTTACTGTACTTTAAACTGTACTTTATCCTGAAATCAATATGTGAACAGTTCCCTAGCTAGGAGCTATGACTTTAAATCCAGAAACCAAGCATATTTACCTCACTAGCTTTAACAACAATCAAACAACTGGAAATGAAACAGTAAAAAAAAAAAAAAAAATCACTTGTCTGCAGATTAGAGGACTACCAACATCTACAAGTATCCTTATAGTTAAGATACTTAGTCCTGTTTGTACATTAAGTATATATATATATATCTATATTTGTACTTCCTTCCTCCTCCTACCTCTTTTGCCAACAATTTTAACACAACAGTCACAGTACAAAATGTGTGTGCCAACTGAAAAGGAGTTCTGTGAGAGCAGTGGTTAGAGGAGAATATAGTAAGAGCTTGTGGCTGAATGCAGTAATCATGACTTACTGCTAGTGCTCAATGGGTATACTATGGGAAAAGGTGAGTGTGTGGATCACTGGGTACGTTGGAATGGTTGCATGAAATCGTTACATCTTTTGGTGTAGAATTACATACAGAAATAAAGGATTTTCCTCTGACCTCTCGATGTTCCTGCGGACATCAGAAACCTGCACGTTACCCCTGACCATGAGGGCACAAGCCAGGTACAGGCTGTGCTTTGGGTCAGCTTGTATTAGCTGGTGGTCTTTACTGAAGGCATCGCTGAACATCTGATCCAGTCTAGAGCGCACGGTTGGAAGACAGGAGAAGAAAAGAAATGCTTGTATCAGTTGATCAACTTTACAAGAAATGAATGTGCATCAAATCATGTTAAATATTCCTTTTATAGCTTTTTCTTCCAGCCTCAATGAACCCGATTTTAACTGAACATGCCTTGAAGATTTTTATCAGAAGTTCAAAAAGACTGGGAACCAAGACGGCAGTGTTTGGCATAGAAGAATGTTTGCACCTTTATTTATGTAGGGAAGTCCCAAAGAGCAGGCGAGATATTTTTAAGCAACACCATGCCCTGCATTCATACAGTCACATTTATTTACTGCTGGGAGTTATCCAGTAAAACCACCACTCTTTTTGACCAATAAGCATCTTCATAGGAGGAGAGAAGGTCTCTGTGGCCCACACAAGGCCACTTTTGTGGCAGCTGTTGCTGGGAGGAGGTAGGCAGATTGGTGTTTTTTTTTTTTTTTAAATCCTACGTCTGGAAAGCTAAAATTGAACTTGCTGCTTTTTCACATAATAAAAAGAAAGCTGGGGCTTTGTGGTGTTTTAAACTCTTACGCTTCTGTTTAACTAGGAAGAAAAGTGCTGTTCTGAGTTTTTAGTAACTTGGTTATTCAGATCAGGTGAGTTCATTAAAAAAAAAAAAGTTTTATACTTAATACAAACTCAAGATCGAATGTAAAGTGTTAAACCTATTTGAACTGGATCTTACTTTAATACTATTTTTCAGTAATGATCAGCAGAATTTCTCAACTATTAATCATTAAGTACTGGATTATTATTTAAACCATTCACAACTCTTAGCTACGCCTCTATTTTCCAGCTGTTTCCCCACTTCTGCATCACTGCTTATATTAACAGAAGTGTTAAAAGGTGTTTGCCTCCTTCCTGATTTTGTATTTCTTGTATGTTTGTCACAATTAAATATCCATCAAACAAATGTAAATATTAGACAATATATGTTTATTATTATTTGGCAGTTTAATTCTACATCTGATCTATTACTTTTACCTAACTGATAACTTTTCTGCTCAAACTTGAGGCATTCGGTTCTTTACTTTTCCAATTTTTTTGTGACCAGACAAGCTAATCTGTCACTTGGACACTAACCTGTGGGGTGTTTGTACTTTGGGTTGAAAATCATAGACTAACCAGGTCATTCATAGAATCATTTAAAAAAGAAAGCTTTTATAGGAGATAATTAATTGATCATGAGCAAGTTTCACTTTTTTCACTCTACCACTGTAAAAGCAGACATTTGGGCAGTTTGCCACTCATTGGTAAACTGAAGCATTTAGGAGTGTGTAAAGAGCACCACAATCCCCCACAATTCTTCCCAAGGTCACACCATGCAATGCTCAGAGGAAATCCAAAAGACCCAAGAGCTACAACTGAGATTCTACAGGCCTCTGTTACCTGGTAAATGTTAAAGGTCATGACAGTACAATTACAAAAAAAAAAAAGACTAACCAAGTATGGCTTATTTGGATAAAACCACTGAAATGGAAATTGCATAGAAATTATGAAAACCAAAATGTTGAAATATATTCTATTTTTTGACTTTGCATAATATTGCAAACTCTATGAATAAAAAAAATAACAACAAAAAAATCCATTATTTATTCAATTAAATACCCTGAATTCAAAAATTTAGTAGCATAACATAATTTCAATTAAGTACAAAGAATATAATAGGCAATTACCACCGAATATGCACAAGGTGTGGATATGAATGAAGGATGAACACAAAACCAATGATGTTATTGTGTATTTCTTACAGGAGTTTGGAACTATTGTCCTGACAAAACTGAAATGTGCAGCACACTGAAACCATTTAAAAATGTCATGTTTAGTGTTCATCTGAATTTGGGGCAAACGGTCAATCATTTCTCTCTGTTTTCATAGTGATTTTGTGTTTAAACCAGATGTTAAGGATGTGGTTGTGTTCCTTATGTCTAGAATGGTGTCAGGGACAGGAGTTATGTAAGCTGCAAGCTTCAGCCTATACTCTTTCACATGATTCATATCAGGAAAATATTTGAATCTAAATTATGCCACTAACCATATCAGCCACCCCATCTGTAGGAAATCGTGAGTCAGTCCTGCTTGACTGGTGCTGTTTCATCATCATGTTACAAATGACAGTTTAAGTTACGGTGTAAACCAACCGAAACCACTTCTAAATGGTCAAGTCATCAATGGAGGGGTTCATGTGAGGAGGAGCTCTGCAGGACACACAACAACTGTCAGGTAAAAATAACTGCACCGATGGGCACAAGGCTTACCTCCTTGTGGGCACATTAATATCTGCTAATGTGTAGAGGGGTGTGAGACTGGGCACCAGGTAGTGTAAACGAGGAAAGGGCACCAGGTTCATCGCAATCTCATTCAGATCCATGTTGAGGGAGCCCTCAAAACGGGCTGAGCTGCAAATAAAAAAGTTATAATGACATGCTCAATTTGACTGCATAATAACGTTAAGTTCCACTAATTAGGGATAACTAAAAGAAGCAAATCTAGAATATCTTCTTGATACATAACACTGTGCAAAAGATCAAAATGCTTTTATTCATAAATAACTTCCTAAGTTGACTTGTGTGACAGTACCAAATCTCCAGGTTGACTCTCAAGCCCTTGCAGGACTCTCACAGAAGCTTTTAATGATAAGATAGCATCACGCGATAAACACCTGAAATGCTTTGACATCTCTGGTTAGTGTCTCATGCTCCAACTTTGGCTGACTCAAAGGGCCAAAATTAAAACAGACAGGAGACTGCAGATGAAAGCCCAAACTGGCTTTACTGACTGTTATTATGAAGAGAATGGATACTAATGCATTTATTATGGCAATCTTATGGACTAGAAAAAAATGGTCAAAAGGGTGTTAATGTTTTTCCTTAGCACACGGGCTTCTACTGTATATGAGCAAACAGTAATACTATACCTGGTAATATTGAGCAACAGGTTAGCCACAATGTTATTCATAGCATCAAAGGGTTTTTCTGCCCCACTGAGGCCTCCCTGTCCAGAGGTGACTGCGCTGTTTCTCT